AAGTGCCAAGGACTAGAGTCTATGTGTTTTGCGCATGATTATGACTCCATCAGTAATTACAAATAGAAGAGGAGGGATCTATGAGAGGATGAGTAGCGGGACAAAGCGTGGGCTTTATTAAAGAGGTCATGTAGCATCCGCCCCACTGCAGAAACCAGCTGACCAGCTGGACAGCCCATGGCTGGCTCCTCACGCCAGCTTTATCCATCCCCCTCGTTTGACATCTATTTATTTCGCTGTTTAGGAGAGGGCCAGGGTCACCGTGCATACATCACTGACAAGAAAACATGGAAAGGAACATGTCCGTCTACACCCAGTTGCCCTTTATAGGAACATCACACATTCAGCCACAAGACAGACAAATGAAATTGCTGTCGGTTCAAGTTCTGCGAGTGGCCTGATTAAGTCCCACAAAACTGCATTCTATCATAACGTCAGACATTCCAAACTGTTCATATCCCTGACAATGCCAATATTTCAGCAAACGGGCACTTAATGTTCTTATAAGGTCACTGGATTGTTCTGGATAAAATCCCAAACCAAACCCGTTTGCTGTGTTTCAAAGAGCTTTGGATAAAAGCCTCCATCCAATGTGACTGGTTACATGATACGTACATGTTAAAGTAAGGGGTCCTCTGTGCAAATCTCTCTTTGGCTTGTCACCCTATCCCCCTCTCTGTCACTGCTTTTAGAATATAATAAATGTTCTCCCCCCCATTATTTTAGATGGTTGGTATTTGCGGCATCTGCCAGGGCCCCCTCCAAGACAATGACATCCAAAAAAAAAAGGGAGAGAAGAAGCCAAAAAAAATAATTAAACAACACACTTCCCCTCCATGCATGGATCCCCTCCCCCCCTACAGCGGTGCAACCTGAAACTGCCTGAAGAGATGAGCCGTCATTAAATACTGCAGAGCTGACATAATGACAGGAAAGATAAAAGAGAGGAAACAAAAAAAGGCCAGACCAATTCTCGTCCCATAATGCCTCCCCCAACCCCCCGGCTCAGCCTGCCTCCCCTAATAAAAGACACCAGGCCACAAATAGGGTACTGGTCAGCTACAACTTTGCTGCTGTGATCCTCTGTTGTAACAATGCTCCGACAAAGCCTGCCCATCACAGGGAATAATGGTACTCCACTATTTCTGACACCTCTGCCAACACCGCGCAGCTCAGTTTCATAAAGTGCTCGTATGATTGTGATACTTTGTCCTATGCAGCAGATGTGCATTAACGAGTAAAGAAAAGTTGCATCAGCACCCAATAATCATTTTTGACTTGATGCGGAGCTAAACCGCGAGCAGCTCGACCCAGTTCTCTGCTGCCATTCCAGTGTTCTGTAACACAGTGCTGAGGCAATATTTACCTTAGAGAGAAAGTTCACTTGGCACACAGCCGAAACTCTTGGGGTGACAGGCTGCTACTGTGTACTACTCCCACCCCCCCCCCCCCTCACCCAAAATCCTCAAGCTGACCCGGCCAACCACCCACAGCCTCACAGCGGCAGAACTGCCCCGCCTGACTCCACGGCTGGACCGGAGCCAAGCAGGAGTCTGAGTGCAGCGCGGTGAGGGACAAAGACAGACGCACACATACTCAGGAACTGAGCGCAAGAGGAGGAATCTAGTGAGCGTGAACACATTGCACCTCAGCCTGGCCTTTTGCCAAGACTCACTGTGGAGGATTTCTTTTTTTTTTTTTCTCCCCACCACAAAAGCCAATCAGCGGTCAACCCCCTGCGGAGTTTTCAAGTGTCGCACAAAGACCCTGCTGGATCAGTGTGTGTATATCACAGTCAAGATTAAGAAGTCTTTCGCAGCAGGGGGTTTGACAGCGAAATCAAACTAACCTCACAAATTCAACAAAATCATTAAAAAAAATAGGACCCTTTTAATACTGGAAGAATTATCTCCCGTGTGTTTGAGACCACTTATCCGTAATGTTTCATTGCCTGTTGGGTTTAGGGGTAAAGTCTAGAGGGCATGGCTTGAAAGATCAAAACAGGCCTGGAGGCAATGGGAAGGAAAAGTGCGCAGCGTGGAGCTACGGGCTGAAATGGATGAACTCACCTGTCTGAAGTGGTCATCAAAGCCCCAGTCGGCTTGTCCATTAGGAGAGGTAGCGGAGTTGGGCCCTGCTGGAGACAGACCCTCGTCAGGTTCTTGCTTCACCCTAACAGGTGGGGATGCAGCCCTCTGGGGAGCCGACGCAGCGTAACTTGCAAACGGACGGGCCGGGATGCGGGAGGCGTTCTGCTGCAAGGCGAGGGTCTGCTTGCGAAGGAACTCCAGCCCACTGGCACTACCCTCGTCCTCCTCGCTGCCCTCGTCCCCCTCCATCATTTCATTGTCATCATCATCGTCCCCTGAATCCCGGCCTCTGTCTTCATCGTCCTCTCTTTCCGAGTCTACGCTGCTCTGGTTGGACATCCGAGGAGGCAAGCCGCCGGTAGGAATGCCTCCAGCCAGACCTTTGCCCATGAAGGAGGCTCCGGAAGCCCGGGCGGCCGCCAGGATGGCCTGCTGGGCAGCAACCTGCTGAGCATACATGATGTGGGCCTCGCGTAGTTTCCTCTCCTTGCGCTCCATTTCCAGTCGGGCCTGCTGCTGGCGTTGGAGCTGCTCCATCACTGCTTCCAGCTTCATCCCCCCGGTGGAGGTGCTTTGGGGAAAGGCCACACTGGGCTCCTGAGACATGCTGGGCTGCAGGACGAAGAGAGGGAGTCAGGGATTACCAATCAGATAAGGAAATCCAATGACTCCTAAAAACTGTGGTGGAACGAGACGCCATTTCAGCAGAAACGCAAAGCCGTGCAAAAGACACCAGAACTTCGAAAAGGGCTTGTACTTATTTACCCGTGTCAATGTTTGAACTAGGGGGAGTAAAAAGTCCACAGATGTAAAATCAGCCACATCACAATAATTAATCCAAGTTAACCACTGACAGGCTAGCCAACATCTCACCTAAACTAATTTAAAACCGTCTATGCTCAGAAATATTGGCCTGTGTGTGGACTCATATGCTGCAGTTTGTTTTTGAAAAATAAAATAATACACAGCATAGAAAAATAAACAGAAAAATAGAAAATATATCAGTTTTACAAGGCTTGTTTGTTTTACATTTACAAAAATATGGCGAATTCAACCCAAAATTGATTCATTTCTTTTTTTACGAGCATGCCCAATATGAATAAAAGCACAGCCGGACACGTCCAACTATTCTAGTAACATTAAAATGAAAATATTATCGAACTGAACACGAACTGAACAGTTGACACCGTGTAGCAGCTTTGAACGCTGTCAGTGAGCAAAAGTTAAGCCCGAATATATCCTTCTACCTGTAACGTTCAAAGACGTTACACCCGGGGCTAGAAATGAACCCCTTTCAAATAGCCTCGGGTACAAACTTCGAGGATAAATTAGCAGTAATGGTAAGAGTAAACAGCCACCCAAGCAGACAATTTTTTTAAAAAAAAGAAGAAAACTAAGCACCCTCTCTGCCTTTAGCTAGTTAGCTGCCACATCCTCAAAATACGTGAATAACGTTCGCGAGTGAGATAACATGCAAACAAGCCAGGTTAGCCCACTTACGCTTTTGCAAAAAAAAACACAAAAAAATGTTGGTCCCTTTTCGCTATGATGGAAAAATGACCGAACGCAACCGACCTTAAGGTAAAGTTACCTCTTCGACTGTGTTCTCCTCTTTTTTTTCTGTCGGTAACTTAAAAGTTTGGGAAAGCCAACTCCTCACCTTCGCGTAAATAAAAGCGGTCAGACTGCTTCGCTCGGAGGGTTTTTTTTTTTTTTTTTTTT